TAGAGAGCCGAAACTTGGAGAACTACTACAACCATCACAAAAGAATTGCAAGTATTTCTAAACAATTGTCTCCTCAAGATATTCAATGTCCGTTGACCGGATACAATCAGTAACAACCTACTATGAGAGAGAACAAGCCAGCTTCCATCTGAAGAGGAAATTAGGAAAAGACGTTGGAGGTGGACAAGACATACATTTCGGAAATCATCCAACTACATCACGAGGCAATCCCTAACTTGGAATCCTGAAGGGAAACGGTAAATAGGAAGACCCAAGAACACAGTGCGCCAATGATTGGAAGCAGATATCAAAAGGATTAATGATAACTGGAAAGAACTGGAAATGACTTTCCAGTAGAGAGTTGGATGGAGAATGCTGATGGGCGGCCTATGCTTCTCTATGAGGAGTAACAGGCGTAAGTAAGTAAGATCACGTAGAGATCGACAGTGATTTTATTCACCCTTATTTCATATATTACTATTTACAGCTAACTAAAAATTCGCGAAATTCTGTATAATTAGTCTACAATATTTCATATCAATATTCTTATTTGACTTTCACAAAAATAGGCTAATTATGGACATAAAATAATGCAGAACATTTAATACAGTGTGTAGTATATATAACTTTCATAACTGTTTTGTTTTATATTCCTGATAGATCAATATATTAACCTACATGAAATGTTACGTCATCACTGCAGCATAGGTATCTATCTTTTTAATAAACAAAAGCTTTTATCACCAAGTTGACCAAAAATAGTTCATTATTATATATGTGATCATACAAATTAAGCAAATCTTTACTACTAGTACAAAGAAAAACTAATTTTGTGCGCGATCTCGTGCATTGGTTAAAGTCAGACATTAACACCATTGGATGTCAGTTCAGTGGTCTGCAGGTTAAGCGTTCGCGCGCAAGACTAATAGGTCCTGGGTTTGAATCCCGCAAGCAGGAGCGTGGATGCGCATTGCTGAGGAGTCTCATACTAGGACAAAACGGCCATCCACTGCTTTCAGGTTATCCATGATGGTCTAGCTTCAATTGACTCATGAATCCAACTGTTAATTTTGTTTTGTTATTAAGCTGTAACTATTATTAGATACATTGATTAATTGTAATTGGAAATTGTTAAGAAGAGAACCATAAGTTTCTAATTTTAGAAAAGTTTCAGTTTCTTTCTTAAAATATTGTACAGATAATGTCCGACAAAGTTGTTTCATGAAATGATAATTTTCTTGAGCTATGTGTTTAATTAAATTATTGTCAAGAGCTTTATGTAACATATTTGAAACTCAGATATTGTGAACTTGTATTCTTGTATGTATTCTTGCAAGATATCAATCCACTTCTAATTGACTGATTTCGTTGGTCAATTGTGTACTGTTAAATATTAGAGTGATAATTCGATGATAGGATTTGTTTGAAAAATTATAACTTACATTACAGGGTGTATTCGTCGCAGATTGATCTCATTTGATATGCAATCGAAAATCAGAGAGCACTGGACAGCTATTTCGTCCTAGTATAAGACTCCTGAGTAGTATTTACTTGAGATCCTGACAAAGATCAAACCTAAGACATTCATTTTTTATGTTGAATGTTTAACCATTCAAATTTCTGTGTTGACAACGAATTGAACACTGTCAACTTCAATCAGTTTATCGTATAGCTCTACCACCAATCTCAAAAAATCCCTTTCTACTAAAAAAAGATTAACGTCAGCTCGATGCGTAGGAAAAATCAGGGAGCATTAAATTATTTATCCGATTTTAATTTGAAATTATGTATCATTGACTATTAGTAATTCTAACTATATAAGTTTACATAAGAAAAATTTAGATACTGGGTAGAAGTGTAAATACCACTAAAGTAACAAGTAGAAGAAAATTAATTATTCATATTTCCGCCCGGAGCCCCTCTGGGGCTACTGCCGGTTCCAAGCCCAGATAAAAGAGGAGGACTGAGCATGAGGTTAGTTACCCCGTCCCGTAGAAAACTAATTCGCTAAAAAATTCTAACCAGAAAAAAAAGAATTAAAACCATTTAAACTCTGCCCTGGGAGTTAGAAGGTCTTCAGTTAGAAGAGTTATGACATCTCATGGTGAAAGCCGAGTTCCTTCGGAAGTCACAAGACTGATGCTCCTTCTGAAAACCAGAGCAACCACTCATTTAGGTACTTGGAATGCCCGTACAAACTGGGAGACCGGGAGAGTCTTCCAAATTGTTGTTGTAGTAATTTCCAAATTCATTCTTTATTTAATATTTATTGATAAAATTATGAAAATTTTGCATCCAGAAAATTTAATTGTGGTATAAAAATGCCTAAGAAACATTGAAAAATTGTTTGTTTGTTTAACCTAAAAACCATGTAATGTTTTTGTAAGAAAAATTGCTTGAGCTGAATCATTTCGTTAGACGGTATAAATGAAAGCCCAGGAAAGAGTGGATTGGAGAATGCTGGTTAGTGGCCTATGCTCCATTAGGAGTAACAGGTGTAAGTAAGTAAGTATGAATAAAACTATGTTTAATGTAAAATGGTTGGAGGTAGTCAATAGGAAACCCTGATAAAACGTATTTACAATCTTAGGGGAATCGGTTAATTGTGACCAATCCAAAACAAAACAGTAAACACGATATTGAATCAATTAAATTGATAGTTACATTGTGACTTAATAAATAGAATTCAATTAGCATTAAATGTTAGACAAACAAGAAATTGGTCATTATTCAATATCCAACATTTCACCTGACAACTCAGCGCCCAAATACTGTGAAATTATTCGATCAAATTTAAACGAAAGTTCTTATTTATTATTCATGAATATTAAACTCACAAAGACATTAAATGTTGAGCTACATTTTATTACACAGTTTGAATGCTGAAGGGATTGAAACTTAGTAATGAGAAAACTTTTATTAACTAGGCTTTCAGTTACATAGAATATTTCAACAACTAGATAGAATTGTATTCAAATCCGTAACTCTATTGAATTACAGTTTCATTTGTTTTGTCAAAGAAAAGAACACATGAGTGAATTGCAATTAAAAACACCTTTGAAACATTTAAATTTAATGTAGGTAAGATTCAGAGACTTGTAAATGAAATATAGTTTGTTAAAATGAGACAAGTCAACAATCATTCGTTACCAGTGGAGTTCAACCAGGTCTGTTGTGAGATAGGAACTCACTGAGGACAATGGTGTACGGTAGCGCAACTTCGTGGATTGGTTGAAGTTAGACATTAACACCGTTGGATGCCGGCTCAGTGGTCTAATGGTTAAGTGCTCGCGCGCGAAGCCAGTAGGTCCTGGGTTCGAGCCCCGGGTGGTGCGGGGTCGTGGATGCGCACTGCTGAGGAGTCCCATACTAGGACGAAACGGCCGTCCAGTGCTTCCAGGTTTTCAATGGTGGTCTAGCTTCAACTGACTCATGATTTCAATCTGTGAAATTTCTAAAATCTCCACAAAACCCATTCTGATAATCATTCTATTAGTTATCAACATTTTTAATCCGAAATATGAAGTTCCTTAATATTTTTACATTAAATTTACTTGATATTGATGTTTAGGACTGCAATTAATCAGCCTATTATTAGCATAGGGGCATCCTGTGAGGATTGCTTTGACATTGCTACAAGCATTATAAATAAAGTGGCTATCATGATTCAGTAGCTAAGTGGATAACACGATAAAGTTTGAAGTAAATGGCTACGAGTTGGAGTCGTGGAGTGAGCATCAAATCTGAGATGCATGTACATCCAGTTGATAAGTTCAAAATAAGACGAAATGCACATTCAGGATTCTATTGCTACCCACTATCCATCTTTGCTCATAGGTTTATAATAATTGTAAGAGTTCTATTATCATTTTTTAACGAGAGCTATAATTTTTTTTGTTTGAAATAGTCTAGAATTAAAAAACTTCATCAACGAATGAACTAACATTTAAATTTCAGTAGTTGAGATCATGAGTCGATTGAAGCTAAACCACCATGGAAAATTTAGAAGCACTGGACGGCCACTTCTTCATATCGTTGGATTTGTCAGCAGGGCGCATCCACGATCCCACCTCACAAGATTCGAACCCAGGACCTAACAGTCTCGCGCTCGCAAGCTCTTAACAACTAGGCCACTGAGCCGGCATTCAATAGTTTTAATGTCTAACTTCAACTAATCCACGAAATTTAGCGACACATCTAGCTTGAATTGATTCATGATCTCAACTATTGATATTAATATAATACATTACGCAAATCATCAAACTGTATCACAAAGCAAGCCCTAACTGAGAATCCTGAAGGGAAACGGAAAAGAGGAAAGCCAAAGAACACATTACGTCGGGAAATAGAAGCATATATGAAAAGGATGAATAACAACTGGAAAGAGCTGGAAAGGATTGCCGAGGACAGGGTTGGGTGTAGAATGCTAGTGAGCGGCCTATGCTCCTTCACGAGGTGTAAGTAAGTAAGTAAGTAAGTAAAAAGTACATTTGTATTAACGACTTATGTAACATTATTACATCTATCAACTAAACATATTGAATATTTGATTTAATTCATTCCCTTACTATTAATTACTATGAGTGAACGTATTAACTTACTAAATTTTTGTAAATGATTTAAAACATCTATTTTTTCCATTGTTTTATCTAATCTAATATGTAATGAATCCAACATGGAATTATTTCTTCTTCGATAAAATTCATTATTATTTTGTTTATTTACATTATTGTTATCATCATCACCATCATCATGATTATTATTATTATTTTCATGTATCATTTCATTGTTTTTCATAGATGAAAGAATATACTCATTATTGATAGGATTGTTTAAAGATGATATACATGTTGATGATGATAACAATAATGATGATAATGGTAATGTAGTTTGTTGTAAATAATCCATTGAAATGGATTCATTCTTTAAATGATTATTTAATTCAGCATTAATAAGTTGTTTGACATTTTTTTGAAATTCATAACATTCTATTGGATTACCTGTTTGGTCTAAAATATTCCGATCATTATTATTATCAGTTATATTACTGTTGTTATGCTTATTAGATTCTGATAAAGAATCATGTAGTCGAGGATATTTTGTAGTATAACATATTTCTTCATTGAATTCAATATTATTTTTATCACATATAGTAATAGTAGTAGTAGTAGTATTCGGTGAATAACAAAGTCTATATGGAAGACTTGAATTGATAGATATTGATTTATTATAATCATTAAGTTGATTATCCAATTTATTCTTTTTAGACAAACAATGATTAATAATACTAGAACTTTGTTTAATATTTTCAGTAGAGTTAACAATCTCATCAATAGTGGTACTATTAGTAGTAGTGGTAGTAGTACTGGTCGAACTAATTGTAGTACAAATTTTAGGTTTAATATCTCCATTACCAATAGGATTAACATTATCATTATTAATATTCAATTTTCCTTGTTCAATTGATTGTTGATTATTTTCAAGAATATTTTTATCATATTCAGATATAGTATGTATAGTAGTATTGAATTCCGGTAAATTTAAACAAAATTGTGAAAGATTAGTATTATTCTCTGAAGTATCAAATGTATAATGTCTAGATTGATGTTGTAATTGTTGTTGTAATTGGGATATCATAATTAGGTTAGTTTAATAGTAAACAAAATTAAATAAATAGACTCAAAGTGATAAAACACAAGAGAAAATCAATTTGGGGGATAACAACAAGTGTGTATGTATATTTATTATGTATATAAATATATCGATAGACACTATAAACAAATTCTTTGATCCTTTCATCAATCAAATAGTATTATTCCAATATCTTGTCTTATTTACTTTTATTCAATATTTGACCTGATATAATCAATGGCAAAATATGTGGAATAATAATAATGGGAACTAAACACAATCAATTAGCTATGCTCATTCAATTTAATTTAATTCCATGGTGACATTATTTTTATTAAAAAAAAAGTGGGAAAACATGAAAAAGGAAGAGGGTTCAATTGATAGTGGCTAAGTAATTATTCCTGGTAATTGGGTTTAATGGATATAGATAAATTAATATGGACATATAATCAATGTGACTTTTAAACATTCATCATAACCAAATTATCTTTTTTGGATATTTTTGTTGTTGTTATGTAATCAGTAAAAATTAGGTTATTGATGGTGATAACTAGAGGCAATCCGTTTACTATAGTTTTATGGGTTACTATTATTATTATTATAGAAAATGGAATTATTCAATGACCAATACAAATAAAGAAATATATATATTGAAATATCGAACAATGAATAATGAACAACGGCTAATATGATCAAATGATTTTTGTATAATGAAATTTGTCAGCCATTTTTCTGTTAGATAAACATCTATGGTACCGTTTAATTTTGTTCATCTGTTCTTTTTACATTGACCCACCCTAAATCCTTCGTTTAGTTTCTCCCTTCTTTTTACAATCTCTCTCTCTTTCTCTTTTTTTTTTGTATCCACCTACATACTTAATTTTCATTTCAATCTTCATTCATTCTTCTCCTTTGTACATATTCGTTTTTTGTAAGTCATTTAATCTATCGTCTATCCAGTAGTATTCAAAGGTCGAGCGTATATACAACATCAAAGTAATATATTATCATTAGTCTTATTTTGCTAACATATTACATTCCCTAAAATATTAATCGAAATAGACACATGTCCCTAAAGATTTGAGATAGTGTTTCTATTTGAAGTAAGTAGTATATTTTCATCTTGAGAAAAAAAATCAATATAAACATTTCTAACTCTTATATCAATTTGATTGGTACTTGAAACAAATTCATTTTGTTTTTATTTTATGCCCTTTAGGTAACATCATCTTCATTGGTTATTAAAGTTTGGAAGAGAAAAATTTGAAGTACATCAATACAAAATATGTATGAGAATAATATGACGGTAAAATAATTTATATGTATAGGGGAAATTTTTCCTAACCAATGACTAGTTTACAAAAGTTTTCTAACAATTTGTATTAATTATAAGTAAAAATGGATAGTGAATAGAAGTGGAATACAGGATGAGCGTTTCGTACTATTTCGGACTCGTCAACTGGATTTATATGAATCTCAGAGTTGACATTCACACCCATAGCCGTTCACTTCAAACGTTATCGTGGTATCCACTTAGCTACTGAATCCTGATAGCCACTTTGTTTATAATGCTTGTGGCAATGTCAAGTCAATCCTCACAGGATGTACCTATGCTAATAATAGACTGATCGATTTCAGAAGATACCAAGTGAATTTATTCGTATTAGTGTTGGAGCGTATAGAAAAGGAGAACTCAGATTATTTAGGTATATTTTAGTCAGTGGCTAATCGTTTGAGCTACCTACGTACTGAAATCGAATATTCAATTTTCATGGTAAAAATGACTGTTTAATAGTTAGTGTTTACCAACTTTAGTTAATTTGTTGTTCGATATGGTGATTCGCTAGTCTATTACTACCTAAGTGAGCAATGTAAGGTAGTCATAAATGACTGAGTTCATGAACCGAATTTAAACTGGTTAGGATAAAATCTACTCACTTTGTTTCTCTAATACAGTATGCCAGAAGTGGGAGATAAAGTTTACTTGGATGAATAATAGATCTCGGAGAGTAGTTTCGTCCGGATACAGGACACCGCAGCAGTAAGCGTTTGTGATCTTGGGACAGATCAAGTTCAGAAGCTCCAGATCTCGTGATGGGTACCTGATAATCATACTTATAGGTTAGAATCTAATAGTTCACGTTTCGTATTCCAGTCAACCCAAAGTATAGTGTGACGATTATCTAGTGATACTGGTGATGATTGGTTAACTACCAAAAAATATCTGAACTGCACTGATCATAATCTGACTAAGGGCTCACTGCGAGATCTGAAGATCTTCGGTCAGGATCATGACAGGGTTATGATTTATAATGAGGAAGAGTTCAATTATAGGACGTAAGAGAAGTTCAGTACTTCCTAACTTTTAAAGAAATTTTCACTAGTGTGTGACGTATACCATTAGCAAAATAAAACAGGTCTCTACAAAATTACTCAAACTGACTTTTATTTATTAATGCGTTAATTTATTAATAATTTCGAAGAAAATCATGTTCTGAATGAGTAATTACAAATGTAACTTTACATTTTACCTTCCAATCAATCATATTTCTAGGTATTTGTTTACGTTGTAGTGAGTTTTTCTCGTTTGATAGAGATATTGTATATGTCGTTCTTTTAATCGTTTGGAGTGATCATTACACTCCATTGTGGGCTAATAAAAAACATTTCAGCAGTCAAAACAAGGTAATTTTATAGTTATATCAAATATATTTTTATTATCATTCGTATTCAGGATCGAAATGATTACTCTGTTGATTTGCGAGATTTTTGATGATGTATTCATTTAGAACTTTACAACATTTTGAACGGTGACTGTTGGTGACACATATTCTGTTTTATCGTGAACTAGTCATCTGAATGCATTTGTTTATAGATGTTGATATTTACCAATGAATTTGAATCATTACCTATCACTTTGCAATGACATATTAAGAATAAAGGTGATAACATATTGATGTGTTTGTGACTACTATCATTCAGTAGAACAAGTAGGTAGTACTAGCGATTGGAGTAACTAAATGGAATGATGGGTATTTTCAGTAGTTAATAAATCTGACCTATTATTTATCTTGAAGAAAAATATAGTTACGTTTACTGTGTGTATATGAATTCTAGTTATCGGTTATCAAACTGGCAATAATTAACAAATTTCGGTTTTATAATTATACTACTTTGAGTAGTATCATTTTATCTCTCAAAAGTTTCCGTTGAAATACACGATAAAAGTCACCAATAATGTTTATACTTCTACTGGAAGGAAACATTATCCAATACTCTATGCGAAATCCTTTGAATGTGGATTGTTTCTACTCTATTATTTTTCAAAAAGTCATTTATATTTAATTCCAAATACATAAGCAAAACTGCAATATTTTTAAATATTTCTGCTTAGTTATATTTTAACTTGGAATAATATCAAACTAAAATCATATAAAATATTTGTTTGGATAATATCTCACGGCGAGAATATAATTCGTGGACCGACCAACAACAATATAAAATAACGAGTCTTGGATTTTTGCGCGAAATTCACTCATCCATTTGAATAAATAAAGTTTTAGCATTATAGCTGGTGTGATGAAAATCGTAAATATAAGTCCATACCCTAACCATTAACTGTAAGTCATAATTCTAATTCCTCACACAAATTTTTAACCTTCATTTGATCCTGGCTATTAGGTGGGAACTCTCTAGGTCACTTCAGGGTCGCTCAAAGGTCGTCCATAAATTATAGTCTCACATATCTCACTTCTATATAATCACTAATTCTGATATATTTCATCATTTTAAAGCGACTTATGTTTCCTTTAGGTTGAAGAATATTTATTCACAACATTTTCATTTGCCTTCCTTCATACGGAGTAGATTCAGTAAAATCATTAAAAATGTACATAAAATGTATCATTCACTGAGATCAAATTATTGCTTAGAATAACTTTTTTGAAACGTGATCATTACTAGTAGGAATGGCCAAATTATCACTGAGATAGGTATGCCGATAGATTTTATGAGATCATTTTAAAACATGTAGAGAAACATTCAGAAAAGAGATAATTTTAAATTATTTTAGCAAAATATATTACTTTGATTAGAATATTAGAAAATAGAGGTTGAAATGAAAATCAACATACTGTTTAAGAAACTTAACCGTATATTATCCCTGACGTTAGGTGCACAACAGTTTCTTATTGAAATCTTCTTAACAACATTATCGACGGACTTTATCCCTTAAGAATGAATTTCCATAATGTCTGAAAAATTATGAAGCATTTGTAGTACAGTTGAACTTTCTGGCTACTTAACTCACTCTCAGCACTGAACCCCTATGACAAACCATTGCCTGGATCTACTTGCAACTTTTAAACAAAAAAACTTTTATTTGTAGAATGGAGGTAATCTTAAATTATAGTGATATAGTATAAAAAGATATACTTAAAACAGAGAAAACTTATTTATGAATAAAATATTGTTATTTTATTAATTTAACATTTCTAGTTCCTTATATGGGTATAATGATATTTTCAAACAAATTTGTTAGGGAGATTAAGATTGATAAATTGAAGTTTGGCACATAATATATTAGTACTGAAATTTTGCTTAAAAATTAGTTGTACAAACTGAAGTTGAAAAAGTTTTGTAGATAGTTTTATACTACTAACACATTTGTAAGTAGGTCAAAATTAAATATGATTTTTTATTATCACAAAAGTTTTGTTTTTAGCATCGACAGTTTTGCGACTTAAAAGTAAATGAATATATCATGAAGTTGAGGTTAAGTAAATAGCTAAAGTGTTGAAATTACATCTACTATCTGATCTATGTGACTTTATTAGAGTAAAATGGATTCCTTTTCAAGAAAATATATTCATTGAGCCTAAACATATGTTAATGGCTAGATTATGAATCTCTTCAATTGTGGCAGAATTAATATTTCCAAGCCCAACGTAGCACTAATCTACCTCTGTCTAAATGCGATTCTGTTGCGAGATTGCTGCCATAAAAAT